CAGGATAAAAATAATCAGTTACATTTTTAAAAACTCATATTCTCTTAGGCATTTGGAATAGTTCTGTCACCTTTAGGAAGTCTTTCCTGTTCAAGTGTTTTCCAGAATGTAGTTCTGTAGTGAAGTTGAAGAAAAGATGTCCAACTTTTAAATAAACTGCCAAAAAGCAGGAAATAAAACAGCTTGGTGTTTCTTGTGTGGAGATGATTTCCATCTCTTCCATCCTCTCGCCTCCTCCCAGCCATTTTTTGTTCAGGTTTAGTTTGAAAAACAAAACCAAAATGTGGACTGTTAGTATTTTCAGTTAGCTGAATTTTCAATTAAATGTGCATACAGCAATAAAGAACTAGTTGAAATACTGGTTGAAGCTTTACTTTTGTGTTCTTGTTATGTTATATTATGGAAAATAAATTTTAACTGAGAGATTCTGATAACTTCCCAGAACCAGAAGGCTGTTAGGCATGCATGTCTTAATGACTAGAACTATGTGTTGACCTCTGGCTTACAAACAATGCTAAATTACAAAGACTCACTGTCAGGGATTGTCTTCAGAACTGTAATGGGTTTCATTTTTGCTGTACTTTTTATAGCACACCCGCTGTGCTGTTAAGCAGGTTATTTGGAAGCATGAACTTGAATTTAGAGTATGTGTGAGAGCTTTTAAAGCTGACTACTTTCAGTGCACAAAACTGTTTACATGTCTTTTGTTCCTGTAATCCTGCTTATTTTTTTTTACCTGAAATAAAACTGGCAGAGTTAAAAAGCTGCTAGGAAAATCTTCCTATTTATTTGGACTTAAACAGGTGTTACTGTAGACTCTTGAATTGAGATCACGTTATTCACTCACGTATTATTGTGAATTTAACCAAGTAACTTTCCTGAGGAAGATCCTTATGTGGTTCTTTTAAAAATACAGCTGAAAGGACTCTGTATTTATCAAATGGTGAACTTGGCACAGAGCAGTGTTTATAGCATATTAGAATTGTTTTGTTACTTAAAAGGAAGAACAGCATTATAGGGGATAGGTTTTTTTAGAGTGGAATTCCTTACAGACAGATGAAATGGGAAAGCAATGCACTTGGAAGTGAGGGGAGGAACATTACTGCTGAGGAGGAAAAAAAAAAGGCATTAAATGGTTGGAGTTTGGAAGAGGTGGTATAAACAGCTGGTGGTTGAGTCAGAACTGGATCTAAATCTGGATTGTTCTTATTAAGGACATGGTAACTTTTTTGCATCAAAGACAAATTGGTCTGGTATAGAGACACTTATTCTTTTCCTTGATTATTTGTAGCAGGTGAATTTTTAGGCAACTAACAGTGAAAGCTTTTATTTGATGCAGATGTTTAATTTTGATGTTCGACAACTACACTGGGCAGAATACATGGAAAATTACTGCATGGGAACGAAGAAGTATGTGCTGAATGAAGAAATGTCTGGCCTCCCAGCAGCTAGGAAACACTTGAATAAGTAAGTATACCTTTTTATTTCCCTCTGTTTTCTTTATCTTCCTGCCCTTTTCAAGTTTTGATTTTCCATGTTATGACTTAATTGTTCTTTATGGCTGCTGTTCAGGTCCTTCAGAATTCTGTTGCAGTCCAGTGGTCTGAAGCATTTTCTAACAAAGTCAGATGTCATCTTGTTCCATTTGTTGCTCCTGAGTTGCTCTCAGTATTTACAGTTACAACAGTAGTCTGTGATTATGGTTGTAGCTCTGATCACTAGTGTATACTGTAATCCAGATTTCTGCTTTTACCCAGATATCTTTGGGAGGCAAAAAGGTACTCAAGTACCACAAGGTCAGAACAGCTTGTTCAGGTGAGGAGGTTTAGTAAAACAATAGTTGTTCTGGGAATGCAATCTTTTGAAGCAGGGGAGTAAACAGGCATGGACTCCTCACCTCAGAGCAGGAAACTTTGATGTTGGTGCTCTTAAGATGGCATCTCTCAGCCTTTTATCTGTGGTTTAACTCCTCCAATGTGAATGCATTGTTACCTTCTGGAATTGCCCTCATTTTGTTCTTGGCTGATTCCTAATGACAGTTGTAGACGTTTTTGGTTTGTCCCTTTAAGGAGTGAAACAAGTGATTAATCTTATTCTGCAATACTGTCCTGATAGCACAGACGAGTGGTCTGGGTCGTTACTTGTAATTCTTCTAAAGACAAGGATGTGCAGTTGTGAAGTGGATTGGCATTAAGAGTTACAATCTCAAATATACTTTTCAAAGATGGTAATATATGATAATGGTGGGGAGAGCTGAAGAGGTGTCCCCCCTTCTGTTGTTCTCTTTTAGTTTTTTTTTAATTTAGATGCTGTTGAAAAATACATAGGAGTTACCACAGAGTAGCCATTCCTTATACAAGGGGTCATACCAAAAATGACTTGAGAAATAGTCTTGTATTGGAAGAGCATCTGGTTGCCCCCAGCTCTCTGTTTATAAGTGGATTATTTTGCAAAACATTTATATTTACTCTGAGGAATTAATTTGGTCTCTTCTGTTACCATCTATCTCTTAACTCCCAACTAACCTGAATTCTGAGTCTCCACTTTTTCTAATATTAACTAAGTGTGACAGCCTGGCTTCTCTAGGAAACTAATGAGTAGAATTTTTCCTCAAGTAGAAAAATGGACTTTACTTTTGTAATACACAAATTCAGACTTTTTTTTTTTTTTATAAATAAGGTATATAGAGGAAGGTCTGGCTACAGTAACACCCAGTGTACCTGTAAAACAAGTTAAGGGCAGTATTTCCCTAAAAGGACCTGCCTTTGGAATACAGATTGTCCTGATCTACTGAATCAGAGAGATTGCTCTGTTTCTAAGAAATCTGAGCAAATTCTGGTTGCTGTTTGCCTTGAAGCTTCCATCCTTACATGTGAGAAGATTGCTAAAAGTCACAGTTGCCCTAAAAGGACACTTCGTTTCTCATAATCTTTAAATATAGTTCTCTGGGAAGGAATGAGTTTAAAATTGCAGTGAAGACTCTGGGCTTTGTGGCTGGAAAATCCTGTGATGTGCTGAGTTGTGTTATTTTCTCAGCAGCAGTTGGAGTTACTTCTCCATACATATGCAATGTCAAATATGTGGAGGGGAGGCAGAGTTCAGTGTGTTAAATAATGCTTTGTTTTGGGGGTGGATGGCAGCCCTCTATAGGTAAGCTACCTTTTGTTTGACCTTGGCTTTAAGAGGTTTTCATCAGGCAACTATAAACTAGAAGTACATGTGATTAACTGGCTTCATGTTTTCCACTTTTCAACAGTGAACTATGGAAAAAAGCCTTCTCTGTTTGGTCTTTCACTTCCCAGCCTCTGTTATTCACTTAATACCACTCACAGTGTATCTGGAGGTGAACAGATAAATTGAATTCTATATTAGAAGCTAATTTCAGAGTGTTCTTTTTACCTTGGCTTCTAATTATTTCCTTTCTTTTTTTCTTAGGTTAAGGAATATACGCTATGGCTTCAACACAGTCCTTGTGATCCTGATCTGGCGCATCTTTATTGCAAGGTCACAAATGGCAAGAAATATCTGGTACTTTGTGGTTAGTCTGTGTTACAAGTTCCTCTCCTACTTCAGAGCCTCCAGTACTATGAGATACTGAAGAAGAGAATTTGGCATTAGGACATCTATGCATATGGTGGTCTAACTGCACAAAGCCTGTAACATGTAGTCATCTCACATTTTGTAAAAGCATAATTTCATCTTAAATTGGACTGAAAATTTATTATATGGTATATGTAATATTAGTTGTGTATCTTCCTGGAAACAGAAAATAAAATGGTCAAGTGCCAGGTTGAATTGGCATTAGAAAAAACATTTAAATAACTCTTTCAACTGGGGAAAACATTTTAGACCACTGACCAACATAACTGTGCAATTTGGACCGTGTTTGATTGAAATCTGCCTTAACATTATTTTTTTTAAGTTGTACTCCACATTGAGCAAGATTTAAAAACTTACGTAGTAGTTGCTAGTTACTGTACACCTATTTATTTGAAATTCTTCTAAATTACAAAGGGTTTTTCAAGTTGCAAAAGTGTATAAATGATGGTGGATCTCTGAAAAAAAAATTATTTGAGGACTTTTGAAACTTGTCTTTTTGCCACTCTTCCCTTCTCAAAGTAGGGATGCAACAATGGTGCCTACTTTGTTTTAAAAGGATAAAAAAACCAAACAAACCCACAACTTTCCTTCATTCCTTACTTACTGAAAGGCCTTCTCTCCAATCTGGTCTTCAGAATGTACTTGATGATTCAGTTCTGTGCTCGAAATTGGCTGCATGCAACTTGCATTTATGTCAGCATGAACAATTGCTTCTCTGAAAGCGTAATTGATCCTCTCCTTGAGTAGATAAAAGGAAATGTAACCATGAGGAGGCAGAAGTAAAGTCACTGAGCATCCTCTTTTAATTATACTTATTGAATGCAGAGCCAGCACTTGATTGTCACACTTCTGACTTCAAAAGGTAAATGTATTTGAAAGGAGTTCATTATACTTAGTTGCTGTTTATATTACTGGTAATAGTAGTTGGACAAACTATAGGGTTTCATAAAGAGATATACCTGGATTTAAATTCTAAGCCATGTTAGCAAATACTTCATGACTTAATATTTTCTTTAATCCCTGACCTATGGAATTTGATGCATGGACAACACCAATGCATAAGCACACTTTCTCAACCCTGCACCAATAAAACCTCTAATCCCACTGGGCAAGCAGAGCAAGATGCACCTTGCTTCAGATCAAAAATATTTTAACAATTCTTCCATCTATCTTTTAACTTAAATTATTAGGTGTAAATATGAAGAAATGTTTTTTTCTGCTTGTTACTTTGTTTTGATAGGGAAAACATTTGCAAAACAAGCAAGTTGTAAGAAAAGATTGAATGCTCGTTTAAGGCAATACATGAAGATTGCTTTAAATTTTGGTTGCACAGGGTTCTGTCTAAGAACACTGTAATGTACCTCTAACTGATGCACTGACCAGCACCCTCGCCCAGTGTTTGTTCATTAAAACAAGAAGCTGCTTGGAAAGGCACATTATGACTTAATTACACAAGAGGTACATTACATCTGCCCTTGGTAGTTTTTTGTCCTATTTGAATTAAGTATGTAAAGAACTTATTTTGCTATTCTTGTGATAACTCTTACTTTAAAGAGAACACCTTTCATGCAGGTGTATTTCTCATTTTGAAAAGATAATGGCTTCCTTGCTGAAGCTAAATATTCTGTAGTATTAGTTAAGCTGTAATTCCTTTTTAAAATTACTTGTGTATATATAAAGCTAGTGATGAAAAGCCTGAGTGGTCTAGGACCGCACCTTGTGTGAGAGACCTTTGACTGTGGCTGAAAATAAATTATGGCTTCTGTGATTGAAGATGTTACACTTTAACAAATACATTAGATGTATTACATTTTAGTTGCCTCCCCAAATATCTTATTAGACCTGAAAGTATGCTTAAGCATTCTTGCATCATAGACTTTTTTTCAGAGGTGCCTACTATCCAATGATATCCCTTGTCCCATATTGACATGTGGCTGAAGTTTGCTGAAGATTAATACATCATATTCTGAAAATGATTCTGTGAAGCAATTCACATATGATTTTTGGTTGTTCATAACTGTTAATACATGACACTTTTATTAACACTGAGAACTATGAAGCCAATGAACTGATTCTGGTCTAAAACACTGTTTAGAAATCTATTATCTTAAATAAGTAACAAAGAAAAGATTACTTTAAACATAAGGTTATTTAACCTCTACTCTTCAAACATTTGCCAATTTAGAAACCTAAATTTTTCCCCTCTTCAGAAACTGTGCTTCTGTACACTCACTATTGGTATGTTACCCAAATTCATCAGTCATCCTATTTAACTGACAGTAGAGTCAGTGTCACATTTATTGCATTCGTTTTGTCACTTTCTGTGGTCAGTCTGTAAATTTCTCTCTGAAACTACTGGGATTTTGTTCCATATCAGAACACCATTCTCTTGCAGCTCTTCATACCATTGTTTGCACAAAACAGATGTTGATCAAAAATATACCAGAACTATATTTTAATAAAGTAAGCTAGACTTACTGCACTGACTAGCAAGTTACAGGAAGTATTCCAGTTGGTTAAATAGGAAGAAGAGGAGTCTGAAACAACATGATCACTTCACAGTTCCTGATACTTAAATTTGGGACCAGGAAAAAATAACATTTTCCTGTAATGTTTTTCTCTGCTGTAGGAACAGATGTTTGAAAACAAATGCTAAATCTGTGAGCTTTTATAAGACATAAACAGAAATATTGGGTGCCTTTGTTTGTAAACCAAAAATAAACAAATCCCTTGAAACATTACAGTGCTTATTGTATTTTTGCATGTTTTTAGTCTAATTTGTGGGAAATTATAGTGTAAATGCTATTAGCATACAGGAACATGCTCTTGCTTTTGTGAGAAACTTAGTTATTGACTTGATTATCCAATATTGCATTTTAAAAAGCAACACATGAATGTAAATCTTCATGGGGTGGTATCAAAACACATGGTGAGATATGCTTGGTCGTGGTGAGGCTGCACCTCAAATACTGTGTTCTGTTTTGGGCCCCTCATTACAAGAAAAACATTGAGATGCTGATCCTTGTTCAAGTGAAAAGCCGGTGAAGAGTCTGGAGCACAAGATGTAGGAGGACCAGCAGAGGGAACTGAGGTTGGTTGTTCTGGAGAAAAGGAGGTTATAAAAAGTGGTGGAACAAGAGTAAATAGTGTCAAGTTGTGCCATGGGAGGTGTAGATTGGATATTAGAACAAATTTATTTACTGAAAGGGTTGTCAGGCACTGGAACATGCTGCCCAGGGAAGTGGTTGAGTCACCATCCCTGGAGGTATTAAAGACACAAAGGTGAGGTTCAGTGGTGGACTGCGCAGTGCTAGGTTAACAGTTGGACTTGATTATCTTAAAGGTCTTTTCCAACCTAACTGATTCTATAGTGGCTTTCTTGTATATCAGCTAGTTGTCAATGTCATTGCCTGTTCATTTGTAGTATATTTAACTTAAATAGATGGGTCCTTTTGCTTTAAAGGGGTACTGTGGTTCTGCAGTTGCTTTTGGATTAACATGTCAAGGAATTGCAAGCAACTACAGCTATTTGTAGCATCTACATTTTGTGGTGAGGGAGGAAAAGTTAGCATTAAGTCAGTGTGTCACCAAAATGGCTTGTCTTTCTGTTTAACCTTGATTTCTTGGAATCTTCAAATTTCATGGATTTCTCCTCTTGTCAACATCATAGTTTTAGCGCTCATCCATGATCTGTAAGCTGTCGTTTGGAGTCCACCAGCTTTAAAGCATAACCTTTCCTTTACTTGACTTTTAAGACTTAAACTACAAAATATAGACTTTTCTTATTATTTTTACATATTTCACAACTGCTGCACAGACTTCAAAACAGAAATGACAAGAAGTCACCAAAGACTGGCTACTCTGGAGAAATGGAAGTTAATTGCTTAAAAGTGAGTTGTTGCTGTTTGTCAATCTTTTAGTGCTGAATCATGTGCAATTTATTTTGTCTAGCCTGGTGACATTCAGAGTGTGTGTAGGTAAATCTTTAGAAACTGTAAAATAGCTCCAGTGGAGCTGATATGAATTGTCTGTTCTTATTTTTAATACATCTTGTACCTACCATCATAAATGTAGAACCGGAGGTCTCACCTCTTTGAATTCTAGGTTTTTCCTGCTCTGTTCCAGTGTGTTCTTCAGAGCTGCTTCTGACAACTTTCTCCTCCTCTCTGTCTGCAGATGACTGCAAATTAAAGGTTACCTAACCAAACTGCAAACTACATTTAACCCTGCTTCCCCTTTCAAGATATTTACCAATGCTGTCCTTGAGGTTATCTTAGTATTTCTTTTCAGCATAGGATTGACATTCACTTTGGCTTTCTCTGCTCTGCAACAAATATGACTCAGTGATAGATAATTAGTCATTATGCAACTGTCTTTTCTGGAATATGGAACAATTACAGCTTTGAGCAGCTTTTATTCATATTACAAGAAGCAGGAGAAACCATGATGAACTAGTAAAAGTTCCAACATGGTGTACCGAATAAAACGAATGCTTAGAGCCATGGACTCCAGATAGGGTGAACAGGGATTTTTTTTACTCTTGATTCAGTTACATCCTTTAACTGCAAGCATAGTGATTATTACCAGCAGCCTTTAATTTCATTCTAATTGAACTGTTACACTTTTCAGGATGGCAGTTCTGTAGCCACTATCACTTCTGAAAATGTCATATCCTGACGTGTATAAGCAAAGGCCTCTTTTGCTTCTTTATGAGCATATGAAAAAACAGAAGTATGAACTTACTGTAAGATTCTTTGAAATGAAAAAAATGAAAACTACCGCTTGGTGAAAATTTTCTGGGCTGTAGAATAAACATTAAATTATAAATTGACCTGACCTCATACAGTAGGGATTTCTGCTACATTGTCTGTTTATACCCTATCTCTGCTGCAGAAACTGATCGTCCACCACCAGGAGTGTCAGAAAGTAGTTGTGGTATTTCTGTTTTAATTAACAAATATCTGATTTACCAAGTAAGTGAAAATTATTCAGTACTCAGCCACTATTGAATTTATGTATTGTGTCAGCCTTAATTAGATTCACCAACAGCATCACATAGTTGAGTATTTTTATCCTTTAGAAAATTCAGTATCTCACCCTGTTCTTCATCCTGGATGAAAATATCCCAGAACTAGATGTCTAGGGACACAAATAGTTACACTTACTGTTTTAGGCACCGAACGTGGATGGAATTCAATAATCTAAACTTAGGAGGCTTGATTCTCTCTTACACAGTTTTCTGATTCAGAATCATAAGACAAATGCTTAAAATAAGCAGGGACTTCTCAAAGCAGTCACATT